TTGGGCATTTTTGAACAACAAACAAAATAATGCATTTTATGGTTTAACAAAAAACAAAGTTTGAAGTGAAAACTTCTTATGGCTCGTTTTTTTTTATGTTAGAGTGACCATCGCCGCCCATGAACGTCTGTAACTCCAGAGTCACAAACGCGTTGCCAGCCTTTTATAAAGGAGTACGCGTTGGGCATTGTTAAATAACAAACAAAATAATGTATTTTATGGTTTAAGAAAAAACTCATTCTTTGAGATGGGTAAAAACTATTGAACTCGCGACACTGTTACCGACACATGTTTGATCTGTTGTTGTTGACACATTAAACAATTATTAATTTGGACAGTAATGTGACTAATTATTTGAATTGTCTGACGTTCTAATCAGAGTATACTGGTTGACAGTCAGCTTAATAATAATCGGGTATTATAGATAGTCATAAATATAAAAAGGCATAAGTGCCTAATATATCTGATGCATTTACTAAGCGCAGTGAGTTATTTATTTACCCTTTATTTTTAAAATATCACTCGCATTAGGAATACAACCTGGTTGGGTATTACAATGAAATGGACACAAAGACTCAGAACAACAATTTTTCATCACACACTTAGTTGTTTTATTTTTTCATCACCCAATACTCAGCACATTAGGAAGCAGCGAGGTGATGATCCCGCTATCTCTGTTGTTTTTGCTCTATAACTAAAACTCATATAACTAAAACAAAACATCATCATCATCAGCCTATTGCCATCTATTTTTACCGTGGGAGAGCCATGCTTCGGCACGAATGGGCCGTCTCGACCGGAGTGATACCACGGCCTCACAGAAAACCAGTGTCAAGCAATTCTGTCGTTGCCTGAGTGAGTGAGGTTACCGGAGCAGAAACCCCCCCCCCCCCCTTTTTTTTGTGACCCGTCTGCTCGTTTGCCCCTTAAAACAAAAAAAAACCACTGCTGAACGAAAGCCTCCCCCAAAGAGCGCCAACCATCCCGGTCTTAGGCAATCCGCATCCAAACAAGACATCGATACAGCAATATTTAGTTAAACGTAGCCTGAAAATTTAGTTTTGTTGTGCTAACATATCATACATTAACACAACTGCTAGCGAAATAATGAAAATATTATAGTGGATTAAGCAACTAGCGCTCACGATCTCGTCAACAGAGATAGGATGTCCTAACTGAACACGGTGTGAGGGGCCTATGGACCCCGGTCGAAACGAAGTTCCTTTCGCTTTTGGTAGCCGTTGGCTACAGTTATTATAATTTATATTAAGTTAATAGAAATGAATTGCAAGATATTTATTATGTAAAAAATTAACAATGATAAATTAAGCACTGAATGATCTGGGATAATTAGGTTAATAACAGATTAAAAAAACGGCATGAGGGGTCCATGGACCCCGGTCGGAACGAAGTTCTGCAAGAAATGTCAGAAAAGTGTCTTGTTACACATTTTTCGGTCTCGTTCCCATTAACTCAGGGCGTATCACGCGCGATAAGGAGCTTCGTCCCAATTAGGAAATAATAACAAATAAAAATTTAGAAACAGTTCATACACAGCTGCAACTATAGCTAGAGGTGTCGGCAAAAGTCTTGTTACACGTTCCAATAATATTTCAGAGATGAACAAAAATAAAAAAGTTACGTAACCCTCCTAAACTTTGACCATGCTTATCTTAAAAATCTTGTATTTCATCTATAAATATATCTACTCCTCAGTGATGTTAGAATTCTTGCTCGTTAGGCGCTTCGCCGCCTCTTATAACACCCACGGAATGACAAGGGTCGCACTACAACTAAAGAGCTCGTCTGAAGTAAATTTATATAATTAGATTTGATTTTTGTGAGAATGTAACCATCCGTTTTAATAATAAACTAGCCTCAAATAGCAAGGCCTAGCTTGTCCGAAGTAAAAATAATTTTAATACTGTCCCGTACCGTCCCTCGTCCCGTAAAGAATGGATAAACCCCGGAGAACACCCTCGGGGTTTATCCATTCTTTACTCATTCCACGGGAATACTACATTTTTCGGGATAAAAAGTTTCCTATCTGTAACTTCAGGGTGTCATCTGCGTGAAAGCGTAACAAACAAATAAACAAACTCACATTCATTTAAAAAAATATAAGTGTGGATTTTAAAAAGACAACTCCCGCACTAGGACTATTTCCTGTGTCGCGTGGGACTTCATACACGCGTATCAAATTCACATAGAGAACACCCAGAGGCAGAACAACAATTTGCGGATCACAAAGTGTTGTCCCATGTGGGGATCGAACCCACAACACTCACTAAAATACTACCCATCCGTTCATTCGAATTTTACTCGAATCATCTCTGTCTGAACTTTGAACATATACCAAGCATGTTAATGTATGACATATTAGCACAAAAAACATTGTTCATTATCATGCTCAGAAAACGGTTAACTAAATATTGCTTAGATGATGTCTTGCTCCAAACATACAATGACATATTGTTTCGTAATAAAGTTTAGGTCCGGTTCTCTCAGTTGCCAAACACTCGCTAGAGAGACAAATATTTTAGTTAAAACATTTGACCACAATTCACATCAATGGCAACTAAAAGATAGAAGAGAACTATGGGTTAAGATACTCGCGTTAATACACTATGAACACAAACTTTCAAACGAATTTCTGAAACTAAAGTTATGCAAAACCGAGCAGTTCCTCAGACGGATCCTTTCCAGGCGTTGCCAAGTGTTAAACACAACATGTTTTAATGAAAGTTGAATGGAGGCAGAACACACTATAATACATATTTTATGCTCTCCCGGCCCACGAATGAAGTACCGAAGTCTCAATCTAAGATATAGACCCAAGCGCAAAATATACAAATAATCATTGATCATACTGGTTTTACTCGAACAATTCTAGAAATTGTTACATTATCGATACATACTCGTATGTATATATATAATGACGGCTACTCAAATTGTTTATTTCCACGTCCATCCAGAATATTGGCCCTATGCTGGCCCAGAATAAGAATATATAATTAAAAATCGGCTCACATTATAGAAATCAAAAGTTCTTTAGGCACGTTGGGCATTTTTGAAACCATTGAACTCGCGACACTGTTACCGACACCTTTGTATATTAGTATCCACATATATTGACCCGGTTACATGAGAGTTGAGTGTTGGTTGTTCTATATATATAAACACTTTATTTGTAAACAATATAAAATACATCCATACTTCCATACTTATTTTGTAGATGTAAAAGTACGATGGTCCGTGTGGTGACGGATTAAGAATACAGAGCGTCACCACCCCTATTCATCCCGTGGGTGTCGTAAAAGCCGACTAAGGGAAAAAACTAAGCAGAACAACAGCTCTGCAGAGAGAAGGAAAACTTGACACAAACCCTTTACCAACCCGTCTGGCTAGCGTGGTATAGTAGGCCAAAATCTCCTTTCTCAGGAGAGGCTTATGTCCAGCAGTGGACTATTAAAGGCTGTTGATGATGATGATGAGATGTAAAAGTGAGTTTGTTTGTTTGTAACGCTTTCACGCCTAAAACACTAAAACGATTTAAAAAATTATTTCACCAATGGAAAGCTACATTATTAGCGAGTAACATAGACCGACAAAAGCGCGGCTATAATAAAATATTTCAGTTATTTTGTCTGTTTTTGTTGATTTTGTTTCTTCTACCAATACTTGAAGATAGTTACAGACGGTTTAATAAAATTAATGAAACTAAACAGCCTTGGACAATAATAACCACTGACGTAGGTTAAATTGAGGATATGGCTTTATCCCCAATTTATTTAATTAATTTATATTATTTCATAAGCGATATGATATGATATTTGACTGCACGGATGGCGTAGTGGTTTAAGCGGTCGCCTCGCCGTTTACTACTACGCTGAGTTTTGTGGGTCCGATCCCACCAGGGGACGACACTTTGTTTGATCCAAATATTGTTGTTCTGAGTCTGGACATTCTTTATGTCCGTTTCATGTATGTTTGTAAAGTCCCCCGTGACACAGAATATATTCCTAATGCGGGAGTTGTCTTTTCAAACAAAAAAATTGTAATCATCAAAGTAACTAATATATATATTTATAGGACCTGCTGGTCTAGTGGTTAGCGATCTTGATGGCTAAGCCACAGGTCATGAGTTCGATGCCAACCCAGTGCAAGTATTGTATGATGAGCACGAACATTTGTTCTGCCATTGAACATTGTTATATAATAAAATATTATGTATGTTATGCACACAAATATTAAGTCAAATTTTATCATCTAAAAGTAGTTTAATAATCCTAGATCTCTTATGCAGCGCTATAATATTATTCTTTAAAGTAAATTATAAAACAAAGACACAACACACAAAAGAAATGAGAATATTTTTTTTATTAAGGACCATTCCCGCGTTAGGAACATATTCTTATGTCGCGGGGTCTTTATAAACATCCATGAAACGGACACAAAGAACACCCACTCAGAACAACAATTTGTAGATCACACGAAGTGTTATCCCATGTGGGGATCGAACCCGCATCACTCAGCGCAGTAGTAAGCGGCATGGCGACCCCTTAAAGACCCATGCTATTCGTGTATACGTACAAAATAATCTAAAATTAAGATTTAAAATACATGTCAATTTCATGCTAATATTACTACAAATAAACTAACCAATACATGTATATTTATTGGTTAGTTTGATTGTGTGACATGTATACGTGTATGACACGTATACCAAACAAAATTATATCTGTAATAAAAAAATCATTTAAATTTCTTTGTTGGCTGTACGTCTTATGGCGCCATAACTATTACACATCACAGTCTATCAAAGTAAGTAAGTAGTAAGTAAGTATACGAGATTTAATGTCTTCTAAGTACAAGTAAATGTACTAGCAGTCGTTTACCTAACGAAATTCTAGGTTTATGCGTAAATGCCCCTTCCTTTCGCTTGCTTAACTTCGTCCGACGTTTACTCGCAATGAGTGCAGTGTAACCGCGTGTTGACGATGTCTTGGTGGTTTTTAGTGCTTTGTGTATGTGTATTAACCTCTGTGCTGGGGGACAATATAACCCACACAGGTAGGTACAGGTTAATTTACTATTTAATTTGAATTAACCTTTTAAGTTATGCGTTTATAATTCGTATTTCTCCATGACCACAATAACATCAAATCAGTAGTACGTAGGAATAATTATATTTCAATATAAACCAATTCTTAATTTGTGTATTCAAAAAAAAAAACTCGTAATTTTATGAAATATATGCTACAGAAAATTATTTTTATTGCAATGATGTTACTTTTTTTTAAACAAAGTTAAATGTATCATCGTTTTTTTTTTTAATTTACCATACCGACACAAATATTAACTAATACCACTGACTAACCTAAATTACTATATGTTATCCGCAAAGCTTTTATTTTAATGGTAATTAAATTAAGGCGAAATTACATCAACACTGAAAAAAAACAACAAAATTATCATAAGTTTCTTTTGAATAGTTATACTTTTCTATTTGAAATTACTTTTTTACTAGAAAAAATTTGGACACAAAGTAGAACCTTGTTGGACTTCATATTTAGACCGAATGGCGTAGTGGTTTGTGTAACTGACTCCTATGCCAAAGGTCGCGGGTTCATTTCCCGCTCAAACATTTGTGTGCATGAACATTCAATCTTTGATTTGGTTTGGGTGTTTCTGCGTATAATATATAGGTATTTACAACAAAAAAAAAAAATCATAAAAGATGTATCAGATTTCTTAGTAACAACCAATTCAAGTTATAGGTATGCACTGCTAACCTACTGAAACATTTTTTGCATGCCCAATCCGCATAAGCTACATCGCTTGCCTTCCTATCTTACCCACTACCTTTTTCATTACGAACCTAAAATTTTTCATTCATGGAATTTCATCCATTATCCAATGATCCATATAATTCTCCTAACTTTCATATATTTATATTAATAGTATTATAACTTCACACATTTTACACGCGGCTGTCTGATTCCAAAGTAGACAGAGCCATAGATCTATAGTAACCAAACTGCTGATAAACATTTTTTACATTTCTAAATACATACATAGTATATATTGATTACCCGGACACAGAAAAATTGAACGTGATCATCACACAATTATATGCCCTGGGTAGCAATCGAACCCACCTCTTCCAGCTTAACAGTTAGAGCCATTAATCAACAGGCAAGTCAAATACTATTAATTATTCAAAATATTTTCATTTTGTAATTTTGATCACTTCATGTACCATAGTCTCTACTGAACCTATAAATATGACGTAACAAATACCTAATAGTAAAGAAAGCTAGTAGTAAAGTACCTCATAATGTTGCACAGCTTGTGTGCACATTATAATTAAGGATATTGCGAATACACACTACTTGTTTTTGCCACATCCTTTCGCCTTTTCTGCATTTGTATCGATTGCTGGCAATATTATATTATAAATAAAATAAATGTAAAAGAAAAACTTTGAATTTACAGAAACCCAGTGTTAAGAAAATCTTTCGTTGCTTGAGTGAGGCTATCGGACCCACACTACCCACCCACCACCATTTGGGAGGGGGTGACTCAAAGGGCGACTTAATGTGATTCATGAGTTTAAGGTGCCTGTGAGCAGGGGTGGTCACTTACCATCAGGTGACGTGTCTCGTTTGCTCGTTTGTGTATTATAAGCTTCAAGATGCCAAATCACAGTGTTATTTGTGATAACACTATAAATTTGGCATCTCTTTGCAAAATACATATGCAAACAAAGTTTCTTTCGTAACTATTATAAGTAGAATTAAATTAAATTTCAAAGTCGGTTTACGTAGTAGTGAAGCCAATAAAGGGTGTTAAAAAGAAAAAAGTACTTTAACTAAGTATAAGAAAATGAATAAATATTTTAGGGACTAAAACCTAAAAACTCTTAATTAGTGTTTTTCATCAATCATCAACAGCCTTTAATAGTCCACTACTGGACATAGGCCTCCCCTTAGAAAGGAGGTTTTGGCCTACTATACCACGCTGGCCAGACGGGTTGCTATAGGGTTTGTTTCAAGTTTTCCTTCTCTCAATCTTCCCTCCAATTCCGATCCTATCTTTCCTTCTCTCAAAGTAGTGTTTTTACATAACTTAAAAAAAATCGCAATATGACGTCACGATGCAGACTCATCTATGTTTCTATATTTATAAAATAAGAAACTGATTCAATGACTGATCGATCAACTCACAGCTGTAACTGCTAGGTCCAGAAGCATGAAACTTTACACAAATATTCTTTTATTATATGACGTAAGGATTTAAAAAATTCCACCCCTAAGGGTCCAAAATAGGGGTTGGAACTTTATTTAAAACTTCGTTATTTTTTGAACTAGCATTTTAAAATTCACAGTAAATACTATTAAATAGTATTTACTAAAGGGTATTTTCAAGAAATTAGTAACAAGGTTATTTACTACTTTTAATAAATTCTATTATAATTTTATTAAAAGTAGTAAAAAACCTTGTTACTAATTTGTCGAAAATACCCTTTAAAAAAAAGAGCAAGTTTGTTTTTTTTTTGACATGGATTCCATATTTATTAAAAGTATTTTTTTTAAAACTATCTAAATACACAAATTAGAAGAACTTGGTATGTTCTTTATCATCATAATCAGTCACCGGGATTTGTGCTTCTAATTTGTGTATTTAGATAGCGCTCAATTCCAAACATATTTACATCTTTTTTGAGAGAAGTAGAAGAAAAACTCGAGTGTTCGTATGCAGGCGCCGATGACCGTAATCATACGAATTTCAGCTCTATTTTAAGGACAGAAAGTTAATATTAAGAAATAATTGTGTAATGAACGCAACGGTTGTCGTGTAACGTAATACGTATACCCAATACCCATACACATACCCATGATGCAAATACTTATATATACTAAGTAATAAATAAATACAGTTACTGCGGAAAACAGTCCTTAAATTCCATACCACAGATATACTTACCTCTACGATCTCTTGTTATTCTACCAAGATAACAAATGATAAATTGGTAAAGTCAGACTGAATAGTCAGATCAGATCAAAACTAGCGTTTCTAGGAATAGACAATATTATAATCAACTACATTTTATCAACTTAAGTGCCTTTGAATGACTTTAATTAAATCTTTAACAAAAAAGTACGGACTTTGCCCATAGCACGGGCTCCGTGTAGTGTAGATTCAAGCCTCATATAATAGGTATCTGGATTTAAAATTTACTTTGTCGTCGTTTTTCTTATGATTACATATTTAGTGTTCATGATTTTCGTATGTTTTTCTCGGCTCTTCGACATACGATAGTATTAGTAAAAAGAAACATATGATATAATTTTTATCCTCATTACCTGGATAGTTGGCGCTCCACTACTGTGCGCTTTTCGAGACACTTTTTGCCCCGCACAACCAATCTGTGGAATGGGTTATCGTCTGCGGTATTTCCGAACCGATACGACCTTTAAACCTTCAAGAAAAGAGCGTACTCCTTCCTAAAGGACCGGCAACGCGTTTGTGACTCCTGAGTTGCAGACGTTCATGGGCGGCGATGGTTACTTTCCATCAGGTGACCCGTCTGCTCGTCTGCCCCCTCTAACATAAAAAAAATTACATCTACGATTTGACATTTTACGATTATTAATAGTGACTAGTCTATTTTGTATGGGCCTGTTGTATTTCTTGTCTTGCTAAACCGTCTAGGACTTGGGTCTGGTGAGCTACCGTACTCAGGCAATACATCGAATCATTAAGGATTGGCTCAAGTCATATTTATCGTCATGAACATGTCAGTTCAGGACGGGTATTACTGGGCCTACTTCAATGACTACCAAAAAAATCGTTTGGACTAAGCCTGCATCTACCACTGAACTAAATTTTAGTGTCGATTCTAAGTGAATCAGAATCTTTCAGATAATTAAAGCAGGATTTCACTATTTAACAAACAAATTGCAGATATAAGCATAGAATAACCAAGTTTTAAACAAACAATTACTCAGCTTAGAATCAATATGCTGTGAAGAGGTGCTATAAACTACAGTGTTGCGCGAGAACGTACAGATTCATATCTTGATATTTAGGAACCTGTTTCCCCGTAAGAGATCACTAAAGTGTGTCGGGAATTCTCTAGAAATGTGTGCCATTACACAAAATATTGTCATAGATATAATATGTACAAATCCACCAAGTGAAATTATATTGGAGTTTAACAATTGTAATGCATATTAATTATCCTTTTGATTTATTAATTCTCGTAACTGGATTTAATGATATTGCGTTGGTCAGTGTTTACTTTTGCTGTGCTATTTAAATCATTTAAAGTGCGGATTCCGATCTGATCCATCAATATTATTAAATTTCTCTCTGACTATAGTATAGTTGTTAATCCGACTAAGTGTGAAGACATACCAAGTAAGAAAAATAACTCAAGAAAATGAATTTTAAAGTACAATGAACTTAATCTAATTAACTTATTTTTAATGATTGACATTACACCGATAAAAAACCGTTTTCTTTTTATATTGTAATTAATCTGTGTAGATACAATATTTTAATAAAATAAGAATTAATAAGAAGACTTGTTGTACTTTAATTATGTAAAAAGTTATCTGACTGGATCAAATTTCTTATTTTATTTTACGAGAAATCCGAATTAAAAATAATTTATATAAAAAGGTATGTACATGAAAATCGGTTTGGATATCTATAGCAACTATGTACACCGGTGTATTAGTAATCACATAATGTTAAAATGTAAATGATGATTGGTTTCGTGGTGATGTATTAAGAATACGAGTATGGTGACACTCCGTATCTTAGTGGGGACCTCTATTTATCCCGTGAGTGTCGTAAGAACCAACCAATTAAGGGGCAAATTCTACAGGATAACAGAACTGCAAAGAGAAGGAAAACTTGAAACAAACCCTACACCAACCCGTCTGGTCAGCGTGGTATAGTAGGCCAAAACCGTGGTATAGAAAGGTTCTAAGGAGACGCCTATTTCCAGCAGTAGACTATTAAAGTCCTGTATGGCTCTGAAAGTTGGCCCATTAAGAGAA